ATCTATCTATCTATCTATCTATCTATCTATCTATCTATCTATCTATCATCTATCTATCCTATCTATTGTCATCCTGTCTATCTTCCAACCATGTCTCCAACTGTGTATCAATTTATTGATATATTTATCTGACTTTTGTCCATTCTCTCTCTCTCTCTCTCTCTCTCACACACACACACACACACACACACACATCAATCTATGTATGTACATATCTATCTATCTATCTATCTATCTATCTATCTATCTATCTATCTATCTATCTATCTATTCATCCATCCATCTATTTGTCTGTCTGTCTGTCTGTCTGTCTGCCCATCCATCCATCCATCCATCCATCCATCCATCCATCCATCCATCCATCCATCCATCATCTATCTATCTATCATATGGCAATTTACATGTGCCCACAATGTACCCATTAGTCCTCCTCAACAGAATACCACTGATCCTGCCGCTTGGCAATTTGGGGAGTTGTTGCCCAGCTGTTCTGGGTGTACTTCCTTCACCCCAGATTTAATGAATTGCAATCATGCTGCTTTCTCGAAGAAGCCTCCACAATGCCCCCTGTGTGATCTCTTTGTTTCCAAACAGCCTTGGAAAATGCCAGTGCAAAGCTGGAGCCACGGGGATCAAATGTGCCCAGTGCCAGGAAGGCTTCTCCAAGTTCAACGGGACCTCCTGCGCGCCATGCCGGTGCAACAATCATTCTTTGCAGTGTGATCCTTTGACAGGTACAATGGGGTTGTTTTGTGAGGGGTGGTCCTTACGGGGAAGGCTTTCCCAGGAGGGACAATTTAACGTGGCAAAATCTAGCTCAGATCATAGAGGAGGAGGAGAAGGGTTAGAGCAAGGCAGGACTATCCTTCTTTTGGTCATTGGAGATCCACCACACCCTTCTCTGATGGAACCTAAAGCAGCTTAGATAGGCCAGGAGAACTGACCAGGAGAGCTTAGCTTGAGGAACCTCAACCCAAACCATAATAAAAACCATAATTTAACCAGTGGAATGATTTGCCTCCAGAAGTTGCAGGTGCTCCAAACCTTGAGAAGGGTTTGGACAACCATCTGTCTGAAATTGTATAGGGTTTCCTCAGGGATGGGCTTCCAAAATCCCAGCAACCGGTTCTCCACCCAGTTGCTGGGTGGGCATGGCCATGGTGGTCATGGTCTACTGGAACTTCTGGGAAGGCCGTTTTTCAGCTTCCCCAGAGTCCGGAGGCTTCCCTCGGGCCTCTGGGAGGGTGAAAACAGCCTCCCTTGGGCTCCGGAGGTCCTCCAGAAGCTGGAAATAGACCCATTTCTGGACTTCCGGGTCTTCTCGCGCCTCCCAGAGTCTCCGCGTGGGCCTCGCACTTACCTGCATTGAAAATGGGCCATGTGGAGACTCCTAGGAGGGGAGGGACAGGGTGGTGGGGCCATCCGGTCGGTTCAACTACCGGTTTGGTGAACCAGATGTAAATTTAACAACCAGTTCGTCTGTACCAGCCCGAACCGGCTAAATCTCACCCTTGGGTAGACGACTTCCAAGGTTTCTTCTTCCATCTCTGTTATTCTGAAATAACAGTTCAGAGACAGATCATTTCAACTCGAGCTTCTTCCCACGAAATGTCGCTTCAACCTTCAAACTCCTGCATCATTTCTGTTGGATTTTGTTTGTTTGTTTGCTTGGCACGTAGGCGCTTGCCTTCATTGCCATGGAAACACCGAAGGCCCTTACTGTGAGAATTGCAAAGGACGTTTTTATCGCAACCACTCCGAGCAGCACGAGTGTCTCCGTTGCCCTTGCTCCACAGAATCGTCCAGCGGCAGCTGTCAGATAAGTAAGGCGGTTTTCTTAAAAGGTTGACGAGCGGTGGAGTTGACCTTCTCCTGTCTGGGTTGGCAGCCTTGGGAGCAAATGTTGGTCACGACGGGCTTTGCGGTAGGTGGGGAGGGGCTGATCTGGTTTGAGCTTATAGAAATTATAAGAAGTCACACAGACTCTCTGGTTGTCGTGGAGCCCGGGAAGGAGAAATGGCAGCTATACGTTTTGTAGAGAAGTTACTGTGGACAGAATAGTCCGTAGTCTCAACAACGCCGCAATAGGCGGTTGTGTTGTGCTTGCTGGATCGTCATCTCCCTCTGCTGGTCACTTGCGCGGGTTGCATTGACCAGTAGGGTGGTTCACCCCTGGTGGAGAAACATTTCCCTCTTCTGGCTGGTCAGCTCAGTGATATGAGAAGGATCACCCACAATTGTGTAGCTGAGACTTGGCAGAATCACCATGTTTCTGTCCCGAGATCTTCTTCTGACAAGGCCCTTCTCTTGTCAGTTATCTCATCAAGTTCATGTACAGATCTGGTCTCGAAGCTTTTGGTTGACTCCTTCTCTTTCTTCTGTCCTCCTCCTCTTCCTTTCTTTCTCCTTTCTTTTTTCCTCTTGCCCCCCTCCTTTCTTCCCCCCTTCTTCCATTTTTCCTCCGTTCCTCCTTCTTTCTTTCTCCTTCCTTTTTTCCTCCTCCTTTCTTCCTCCATTTTTCCTTCATCTTGCCTTCATTCTTTCTCCTTCTTTCTTTATTCTTCCATTCTTTCTCCTCCTCCTTTCTTCCTCCTTTTTCCTCCATTCCTCCTCCCATATCCTTTCATTCTTCCTCCCCTTTCTTTCATTCCTCCTTTTTTCCTCCATTTCTCCTTTTCCTTCTTTATTCTTTCATTCTTCCTTTCTTCCTCCATTAATCCTTTTTCCTCTATTCCTCCTCCTCATTTATTTTTCCATGCCTCCTTCCTTTTCCCTCCATTTCTCTTCCTTCCTTCCTTCTTTCTTTCTTTCCTTCCTTCCTTCCTCCCTCCCTCCCTCCCTCCCTCCCTCCCTCCCTCCCTCCCTCTTTCTTTCTTTCTTTCTTTCTTTCTTTCTTTCTTTCTTTCTTTCTTTCTTTCTTTCTTTCTTTCTTTCTTTCTTTCTTTCTTTCTT